AGAACAAATTATCTCGCTAACATTTAAAAAAAGGTTAAAATATATGTATTTTTTTTAACAAAACAAAATAAGAAGTGTTACCTATTTTTATAAACAAAATAGTTATTTTGATAATAATATATTGTATTTATTTAAGTAATATTCTACTTTAGAATAATTTATGTGCAATTAAATAAGGAAACGTTATAAGAAATTGAAATGTTTTTTTCCTGATCGTCACAAGGAAATAGTGAAAATCATTAAAAATAATTTGAAAGAGGTTTTCCTTTATTTTGTTTATATCATGAAAATGATGTGTCATTTTCATTTAAACCAAGTAAACAACAAAATGTAAGAGTTTAACCGGTTTAAAACGTAGTAAGTTACCCATTGCAATAATAAGTAGATTTTTCAAAGTAATTTAAAAATATGTTAATTAATGTATAAGAAAAAAATAAAAAATACAATGATGTAAAAAGAAATTTTATAAAAATAAGTTATGGTTTCATTTAACCCTAGAAAATTCTGAACTACAACTCCTTTTCAGCCTCGTAAATTCTATGGTGGTAGCAATGAATTCCCCAAGGCAAAAACGAAACCGATTTTACATGCCAATGTGTTGCCCAATACATCTTTCTTTGCTCCTACACCACCTCTAATTAGAAACCCTAAACACACCTCTATTATCAAGAACTCAAACTAGACCACAAATCCCTAAAAACCCATGTAGAAAAGATTGGTTTTCAGCAAGTGAACACATCCAGGAATGGAATAAATTTGATGGGTCACCTTACATTATTAAATTCTCACCATAAATAGACATATTCTTAGCTTCTCTGCGATACCCATTAAGAACAACACATGTTACATCACTTTCTCTTTCTATTTTTGCAGAACTCAACTGAAACAAACTCAAAATGGGATCTTAATTGGCACAGCATCTGTTATCTGCAAGAACCTTCGGTAATAACATATAGCTTACCCACATCTAGTTAGGGTTTTGGGGGGACATTAAAGTTTATATATAGGGTTTAACATTATACATTGAGGCTACGTTTCGCAAATTCTAACTGATAAGCTAGCTAGCTAACTACCGGTGCAAAAGCTAATTGTCGATTAGGAAACGGTCTCTTAGTTTAAAAGTTAGTTGATATATTAATAGTGAAAACTAATAAGATAAGTTAGGCGATAATGTAAACCATTTAAATTGAAATAAAATGAGTATTTAATTTATGTAAAATATAACGAAAATAATTGAAGGAAAAACCTTAAAGGACAATTTTTTTAAAAAGATGGCTTAATTGCTATCAATAAACATAAAAATAACTTGTGGTTTTTAGAAATGGTCTTAATATATATATACATAAAGTGAGAGGGGTTCAACCTTTTTTGCTCGTGTTCTTACACAAAATTTGGTTTCATAAGATGCTAGAAATGTTAATAAAATACTTTGTAGAATTTAAGTTAGGACAAAATCATAAAGCGTCATATTCCAGTATTACAATAGGTTTATAGGATGTTTTTAAGCGTTTTAATAACTTTTTAGAATGCTTTTAAAATGAAATGGCGTATTAACAAGTTATTTTACATAGATACTATTTAAAAAAATAAGTGTCCTATAGAAATATGAGTTTATATTGAAAAAGTTCCAAAAAACTTGTTAGAACACCAAACAAAAATGTATATATACACCCTTGTATGGGTGACAATTTTGTACCAAACAAAATCAGCTAATATGTGTATCAACTGTAACAATTAAATCGGTACAAATTATAACTAGCTGATTATACCGCATCAAGTATTTGAACTTGGTTGGTATGTGGTATTGAGTATCATGTACCACGGTAATAACATGGAACCAACTTATTTAATAATTTAAGTAATTTTTAGTTATATTAGTTGATAATATTAATTTTGAGTTTTAAAATTTGAAATAAAAAAATTTCAATTCTTTTTAATTATCTACCCTTGCTACCTAAAGACCCTAAACCCTAATCCAATTCTAATTCTAACCCTAAAGGTCTAAACACCTCAATCATCTCCAACGGTTGAAGAAACGGTCTCTTATTTTGAACTAGTTTTTTTTTTTTTTTTTTCCATATATTGAATATTAAACGTTGCTACATTTTACATTTTTGTTTGATCATTTGAGCATTTCGAATTATTTTATTTTGTTTTATGTACATAAATTTGAAATTGGTACATGATATATAATTTTAAATACCAATTATAATTGATTGGTACATAACAAAAGGTCCACCCCTACACCCTTGGCTCTAATACATACAAAAAGGACAATTTGGTGGTTAGACTTTCATTGTTACTTCGTTTAGAATAAAATTGTATTTTTGGATCATTGCATGAATTTTATACATTTCATATTCCATTGTATTTTTAAGTTAAAAAGCATTTATTTGTTTACAAAATTAAGGTTGCTGCCTGCTTTTTTTCATATACAGGATTAATTTGTTTATTTTTTTCATCATAATTAATTTTAATCAAATAGTTAGCTAATAATTAAAGTAATTAATTGATCAAACATCAAGATGTCTGGTACGTACGTAGTATGCAAATTACAATTAATTATATACAGATAGATAGGTCCGTACGAGAACAATATCCAAATAAGAGAATAAAAACACGATCAAAACACATGTGATTCATGCGACTTTGACTACGACACTATTAGAAAACTATGTATTAACAACGAGAGATTTGTGACGTACGACTTTCTGGTCAATCCGTTTGTTATTAGCGAAAATAGCGACGGATTAGCCAGGAATTGACTACAAAGCCATATGTCACTAATCTCTCGCTAATTTAGGGACAAATTTAGTAACGGACATGTGACACCTATCACTAATTAGCGAGAGATAATTAGTGACAGATATATTTATTTTTCTTGTTTTCTCATTTGTATGTGTTATGTGTACACATCTATATGTGTTATATGTACCCGTCGGTCCGTGTTATGTGTATGTGTGTTGCTAGCTTGCTAATCACAATTGGATCTATGTAACTATTGTTGTATATATGTGTTGTATATATGTTTATATGCATGTGTATATATGAATGTATGTATATTGTTTGGTAACCACATACAAATAGGTGACAAGTCACTATTGGTGTTATTGGCCTTAAATGAATCTTAATGGGCCTTATTGGTTTTATCGAACCCAATAGACTTCACATACATACGTATATATAGTGGGACTTAGGGGCCGTTTACCCAAATGCTTACCTGGTAATTAAGCGCTTACCAATATGAGTCAACACTAAATTTATTTTGATGCGCAAGATTTTAGTATATCAAAACATATGAAATACAACAATTTACTGGGTAAGCGCTTACCTGGGTAAGAGTTGTCATCCTCACTTACCGGGTAAGACTCTCCATCATTCTCATCGCTCTTACCCGGTAAGATTCTTGGCCATTTTCATGTTCATCCATTGAGGAAATTTATGCATTAAACACTTACCAAGTAAGTGTTTGGTAAACGGCCTCTTGGTTGGCTTTAACGGACCAATTTAACTTTTCCACCCACGGACTATCCGTGACGGATCCGAGCTCTAGCGACGGCTTCGTCCGTCGCTAAGTGCTGCTCCGTTTTGTAGTGTGAGGTCGCAGGCCATGTTAGGCCATGTTGCCCACACACGAAGGTCGAAAACTGTTGGACATTGATGATTAAGATAAAGAAGAAAGGAGGTAGAAAAGATGATTACACAGGTAAGTTTTGGCATTCTACTGGAAGTCCATGGCATGTAGCTCACCAAACTGTCACTTCTTTTTATCCATCACAGTGAAAACTTGTGGCTTCTTGGTTGTAGTTTACGTCGTCCAAATAAGAATCTTGAGATAGCTCAAAAACCCATAGCCAAAAATGGCTTATTACTCACAAAACCGCATACCATACGTTTCAAATTTATGGCATTGTTGCTTGGTCTATGTTTTTTGCTTCTCCTAAAGAAAAATACATATGTATATATTAAATATTAATTATACATAGCAGGTTGGATATTCAGGTTAATAAAAAAAAGTTAGTTTGTATATTTTACAACAAACCATCATAAAATAATTATTCTTTAATTCATCGTCACAAAGGTTAAGTTTGTTTTTGTATTATCATTTGATTTCTAATTTTACACATTGTTAGGTATCATTTCTTTTCTTCTTTTTTGGACTTTTGTTTCATCTTGTTCAACCAATGAAAATTAAGACACATCAAAGTTTTATATATTCTAGGTTTACTTTATTTAAGTACACATTCTCTTTCTACTGATGTGTAATTATGTGACTAATGGAGAAGAATGAGACGTCAAAATTTTGGACGAGATTTTTTATCCTAATATTGTCGGTGGCATATCTAGATTGTCGTACCCCAATGAATTTGGTTATCGGTAATCCGTAGTTATGGTCATTACACGCCTTGCCGCACTCCCTAGAAATTGAACGATGTATGTTAAGTTTTGAAAACGCTTGGTTTAAAGATCCGACAAGCTGTAAAAACTAAACATTCTGCTTCCTGATTACACAACAATCATTCTCAATGCAGCAAATTCTGAAGGGATTATTGAGGTTCCATGTGATCCATCAAATGGGGGGTTGTTTGCTATATCAACCAACTCCATTGATTACTTGTGTTCTTACAAAGTAAATATGTTGATTAGTTTGAAAACGAAGTATCAAATACAACTATTTAAATGTCGATAACAAGAGTTGAAGAGTTCGAATAAGGAAATGGAGATTAATCAATACCATTTTGATTTATTTCACACATAATTATAATCAAAAGACAAACTAGAGAGAAACTGATGAATTAATACATAAGTGCTTCCTTTAACTTGTTTCTAGTTAATCTTAAAAGATTTAACAAAAGATCGATTCAAGATTGTCAAATTTCTACTTCACTAATTAATTTCTTAGTAATCAGGAAGCATTCGCTAATTATGTAATTAACCCTATAGCTACTTCCTTAGCTTAATTAGTGTTGAATGATTCACCTTGCAAGCTAGCTAGCTAGCTAGCCAGCCAGCCTCAGCTCAAGATCTAACCCTTTCATGGAACCGGCCATGACCGGCGGTGTAACAGCCATCTTCTGCCTCTTGTGAACAGAAGAAGTCGTATTTGAACATGAATCCAGGTGATCAAACCCTAGAAACAAATTTGTTTCAACATCAGTACCATTGCCTTGAGCTACTACCAACACTTCGTCATAAACACAACTCTTAGTGTCGGAATTGCTATCAAGACTTTCTTGACCTAATGCTGGTATTAAAGAAGGTGTATCAGGGTCTAGAGACTCCAATGATGAATTACAGAGACTCTGCTTATTATGGTTTTGTTGTGTAATAGTGCTAGTTGTACTAATAGGAGCACTACTGGTACCATTAACAGTCTGCTTCAGCTTGGCTCTTTCTCTTCTGTGGACATTCATGTGACCACCTAATGCTTGAGCTGACCTGAACTCTCTTCTACAAAAGCTACAAGAATAAGACCTCGGTGGCCATACGAAACCCCCAAGAGGACCTCGAGCATCTTGTGCGAATGCTTGTTCTTCCCATGAGTAGCTTGACAATGGATTCATAAGGATTTTGTTGTTCTTGCTCTTCGCCAACATCAAGTATTGTGAGTATTGCTCCATTTTCAAACTTCTTGAGAGAGAAAGAGACATATAGCGATTGGTCAGTCAAGACCTTATGTTGGTATGCAGAAGAGTGATAGATATTCATATACTTATAGCTGGATGAGAGAGAGAGGTTCGGGTGGTGTTCTATATTTTGTTGATATTGAATGCATGAAAGCTACTAGAGAATCTCAAAGAAGAGAATAAGGGTTAGATGAAAAGGCCATATACGTTGGTTTTTAGAATTGAAGAGAGAGAGAGAGAGAGGAGAGAGAGGTGTAGTTGCTCTAGTTTGGCCGTTTCAATGGAGGGTACTTGAGTTTTTTTAGTTAAAGGTTGATAAACAGTCACTGTCCTCTAACTAAAACCCTTACCTCCATATATCATACGGTTATTACATATATACGTACATATATATGTAGGTTGCTGTATATGCATTTATGGTCATCTCATGGAACTATTATTTATTCCAAGCTCACTCTAGGGTTCATTTTAAAAACCCCCAAAAATAGGGAATTAATTTACCAAAGAATTTTTACACAAACGTAGCATATCAACCAATCAGATATTGTCATTTGTAATTATTTTTGGGTATATATTGACCGTTTTCAAAAGATGAAAACGCGTCGGGTACAAGTTTACGAGTTGTTTATCGGTACCATAAAAACCATATTTTTTGTAATTATTTTTAGATGTATATTATATTATATTAATTATATGGTGCCACCGTATAGAAAATTTTCTGGGTCCGTCCCTGACCTAGTCCATAAAATGATGTTGTAGTAATTTACAAATGCCAACAATTTTTAACATTAATTAATTAATACTTTAATGGGTTCTTATATTAATTTATATTTTGTGAGCAATGGGTCGAGATAATATATTGACAACATGGTTTTGTTTGTAGCACCGGCCATTTTCTTAAATGTTCAAGTTAAAATTTAAAACAATTAAATGGTATTTATCTTTTTGTGCACGTCCCAATTCAGTTTATTAATCTTTTTAATTAAGCTCAAAGTTGAATTCAAAGTCAAAGTAAACGATACAACTAATATTTTACTATTTTTATAGCTAGTCGTTTATTTTGAGAATGTGCAATTAATTTTGGAAGGATATATATTAAGACCATTCAAGATTATATATATATATATATATATATATATATATATATATATATTTGTTTTTTATAAAAATTACAATAAATTATTAAACGGCCACTTTTCGTAGACAAATGATGCAATGAAATCAAAGAGAACGACAATACATCTATATTATATTATTTGATTTTTTTTTTAAAAACTATTTTTTATGCATAAAGTATTGTTTATTAATATATGTTACTTAAAACTCAATTACAAGTAGATTGTGCGTAAGTA